AATATTTAATATTTTTTATAAATAAAAAGTAAGATAATTAAATTAAAATTGTTGTACCTATGATTTTGATGATTACAAAACACATTTGAATGACTAATTGGTTCATTTAAGTGTGTAGTTAAAATGTCAAAAGATTGCAAAATAAGTAAACTTGGAATGCACTTAAAAATGGACCAGAAAGGCTTGAATATCTGCAGAGAGCTGGCTCTTGGAAGCTGCAGCCAGCTCTGGTGAAATGGAAGTGTAGAGAGCCGGCTCTACAGGCAAAAATTTGAAGACCGTTGTTTGGCGTGCGCGGAGAAAAGATGCAAAGCCGGCTCCAACTTTACAGCCTGCTGTGAGGGTGCATTTAATGCACAACAGTCGACTCTTTTGAATGTATTTAAAATCAAAATTCCAAAGCCGGCTCAAAGTCTTGCAGCCGGCTCTCGAGGAAAACAGAATGGCCTGCAAACCCGGATAGCTGGCTTTGGAAGTGTAAGTCGGCTCTGTAGAGCCGGCTTTAGAAAGCTAAGCTGGCCCTCCTGACAAACCTGCAGCTCGAGCTTTGCGTCCTGCAGAGCATTTAATGACCCCCAACGACTAGAAACGGCTATTTTCGAGCAAGGGGCTATAAATATGGATCTAAAGAAGTTTGGATTACAATACATTGTATATCTTTACCTACCTACTTAAGCTTTAACTTGAGTTTTTGATCTTTGAGTGATCATTGCTTGTAATCCTTTTCTTGTGCTATTAGTGAGTGATCTTGGGGGTGTGTTGATTCCTTCAAGAGTGATCTATTGAGAGAATTTGTGGGGTTTACATTGTAAAGGGGTGAGGTTTGAGAGAAATACTCATCTTGTTGTAAAAGGATTGAGTGGCTCCTTTAAGCCACCCTTGTCTTTCTTAGTGAACAGTGTGGAGGAAATCCTTGGTGAGTGAAGCCAAGGTAGAGGACTAGGCTCCAAGTGGTTGGACCGAACCTCTATAAATTCATTGTGCAAGCTCTTCTTCTCTACTCTCTTTAATTTGGGTTTTATGGTTGAAAAAGGGGAGAATTTTTGGAACTCCAATTCACCCCCCTCTTGGAGTACATTGAGTCAACGATTGGTATCAGAGCAAGGGCTCCAATTTGAAGATTTAACCACCTAGGAGTTGATCGGGAATGGCTCAATTTCTATCTTCTCAACTACTTGAAGGTTTGTCTACCGCTTGAAGGTTTGTCTACCACTAAGCCTCCTTTCTTTGATGGTACTAATTATAATTATTGGAAGAATAGGATGAAGGTCTTCATGCTTGCAAATGTGCCCAAGGCATGGGTTGTGACTATGAAAGGTCCATATGTACCCATGAATATTGTTGGAGAAAGAGAGGTGCCAAAGGAAGAGATTGATTGGAATGATGAAGACTTGGAGAAGATCATGATCAACAACAAAGCAATCAACATGCTTCAATGTGCTCTCAATCCAACGAAATTTCATAGAGTTTCCGGGTGTGATACGGCTAAGGAGATGTGGGATATGCTAGAAGTCACTCATGAAGGAACAAGCCAAGTAAAGGAGTCAAAAATCAATAGACTCATTTACATGTATGAGCTTTTCAAGATGAAACCGGAGGAGAGCATTCAAGTTAACATAGTCACCAATCTCAAGGCTCTTGCTAAAGTCTATCCTCCTCAAGAAGTGGTGAGAAAGGTTCTTAGAAGCTTGCCTAAGAGTTGGGAAGCCAAGAAGACGGCAATTGAAGAATCTAAGGATCTCAACACTCTCAAGCTTGAAGATCTCATTGGCAAATTGATGACATATGAGATAGAAGTGCAAGGTGATGGTGGAGTTGAAATAGTTGAGAAGAAGAAGGATGTTGCATTCAA